AATGGAGAACAAATCTTTTGCCAGGTCAATAAACTTGCTTTCTTTAGATTGTCCTCAGCAGATGTTATCTTACCTTAGGAATGTTGTAGTTATTCCCTTTCTCTGAGAAGCCAGGAAACAGGCAACCTTCTGCATACTTCCCTATCCTTAAAGCAGAGCCTTGAAGTCCCAGTCATGTAGCCTGGCTCATAGCAGGGATGCAGGTGTCTTTATAGTATGCTGATATTTACTCCTTTGGGTACAAATTGAGAAGCGGCATTGCTGGGTCATACGATAGCTCTATTTTTGGGTTTTTGAGCCTCCTTCATTCTGGTTTCCATAGTGGTTTACTAATTTACATTCTTACCAACACTTCAAAAGTTCCTTTTTGGGAGGTAAGCTTCTGATATGTCAACATTAATGCAGTTAAGAAGGACTCTAGGGGTTGATAGAGCCTTTTTACCAAAATGGAGCAGTAGGTGAAGAAGGAAGACCCTGCTCCTCCTAAAGCTGAAGCCAAAGCAAAAGCTTTGAAGGCCAAGAAGGCCTTGCTGAAAGGCATCCGTAGCCACAAAAAGAAGATACGAACATTGCCCACCTTCTACAGTCCTAAGACACTGCAGCTCCTGAGGCAGCCCAAATACCCTCTGAAGAGCACCCCCAGGAGAAACAAGCTTGAGCACTATGCCATCATCAAGTTCTCCTTGACCACAGAGTCAGCCATGAAAAAGATCAAGGACAACACACTTGTGTTTATTGTGGGTGTCAAAGTCAATAAACACCAAATTAAATAAGCTGTGAAGAAGATCTATGACATCGATGTTGCCAATGTCAATACCCTAATCAGGCATGATGCAGAGAAGAAGGCATATATTCAACTGGCTCCCAATTATGTTGCATTGCATGTTGCCAACAAAACTGGGATCATCTAAACTGAGTCCAGCTGGCTTATTCTAAATATATACTTTTTTTTTTCTCAGTTAAAAAAAGACTCTAGGAATATTTGAACATACAAATAATACTCAAAGTTCAGTGGAACATTCTTTGAAATGGTTAAGTCATAAGCCCTGAAGATAAAATACTGTGTTCAAGATTGTTATTTCTCTAAAATTCTCTGGTTCCCTCCTATCCACACTCTGAACTCTCCCCCCATGAGCCTCTCTGTGTTACCCTCACTTTGTAATACACAGTGCTTTTCTTTTTCTTTTCCTTCTAGGCTTCCAGTGTGCTCTTTTCTTCAGTTTTCTCAAGAAATGAACGATCACATTGTAAAATCACATTGTAAAATTGACAGACCAAAAGATTCAGATATAAAAGCTGAATAAGTCATGGTCCAAAGGTGAATTAAGTTCTACAATTAAAGATTTTTAAATCTCAGCAAGATGAAAGTCTGAAAAATTTGACATTTTAGTAGATACTTACTGTTTGGCCCAGGAAAACTATATCATATATTCCATTTGATTTTTTTTTCAGATGGGGAAAGGAACTAACAGCCTAGCATGGGAAGACAAAGACAATTTAAATAACTCAGTGTTGTATACTTTAATAATAGCTTTCAGAGGGTAAGAAAAATAGAAAGTCTTTGACATTAGGCCATTATAGAAGCCTTAAACATACGGGACTGTGAGTAAAGATCTAAAATTGCAAATGAATGAAAAGGTATTAATGGAAGACTTAAAACGTAGAATCTAAGTATAGTTAACAATAATGCATTGTGTATCATCAAATAGTTGGGAAAGAGGAATTTGAATGTGCTTTCAAAGAAGAAATAAAGGTTTAAAGTGACACATATTCTTATTTCTCAGATTTGATCATTACCAAATTACACATGAATAAAAATACCACACTGTGCCCTGTAAATGTATAAAATATTGTCTTAATTAAAAGACACAAAATTAGTAAAAAGAATAAACTCTAGGAATCTTTCAAGTAATATATGGATCATATCTAGGAACTCAAGAAATAGAATTCCACCTCTCATTTTGTAAATGAGTTTAGACTTGGAGGATTTAGTCATAAATAAAACAAAATGGAAGACTGCCAATTTAAAAAATCTCCTATGTATGGCTAAGTATCTTAGAAATTAAATATCTAGAAATGAAAATAAGCCTCTTAACTTCTAGATAAAACAACTGATCCTTGAATTGAAAAAGTATGAAGCCAGATTTTTTTTTAAGGGTCTGAGTTCAATCCCTGGTTCTGAAAAAAAAGGTCTAAAAATTAAGATAGCTGTGGACACTGGCAAATGGAAGGACCATTAGAAGAGCCAGTGGTCCATATTGTAAGGAAACAAAAAACTCAGACCTCCTAAATTTGGTCTCTAATGGTCTCACTGGAGGGAAACATCAGTACACTGAAACATTCCCTTTCTCTAGACTTCCAAGGGGAGTTATGTAGAAATGCTAGAGATTAAAAACAGTTCTCTTGTTAATACAGCTATCAATAACTACACCCACTATGAAGTCCATTGCCCAAAGACCAAGCCCTGTAGTGAAATATCTCAGTTCTCTAAAATGCAAGAAGACATGCAAATTAATAGGTAGTGAGTACAGAAAGGAAAAAGAGCGTCACTTTATATTAAAACAAAATATTTTGTAGTGAATATGAAGAGATTTCAAAGAGTAAATAGTCAGCTGTAGAAAGTTAGGAAATAAACTTTATTTGACTTGGTTTACTAAAACCATCTAAGTAATAGACATTTCTAGCAGTCTTCAGTCCTATCTTGTGTATCAATGGTTACTTTAGGATAATAGGCTAATACATTCTTTCTTTTCTGTGATGCAACCTTTGCCAATTTAGTAAAGGATTTGTCTCACACAGAAAAATATCAGATACAATGTGTTGAAGGAAGCATATTTTTAGGAAATTCTAAAAGTTCTACATATGATTAGAATACAGAAGATGCACATTTCTGATCTAAAAAATACTTGAAGAATTAGCTAATTTCTATAGGCACAAGTCTCTATGATATATGCAGAAAATAGAATAGAGTCACAAGAATTCATGCTGTTTTCTCATCTCATTGTGAATCTTCCTTTTGTATGTATATGAAATGTACAGTTACATTATGGGAGTACATTATAGGAGTATGTGCTCAACAAATATGATGTATTTTCTTGGTTACTTTTCTCTCATTGCTGGAACAAAAATACAACACCCAAAATCAAGGAAGAAAAGGTTTATTTAGCTCACAGTTTGTGCAAGTTTTGGTCCATACTCGGCTGGCTCTAAGGCAGAGTGGCACAAGGTGGAGGGCAGTTGTTCATGTTGGCAGAAAACAGCAAAGAGCAAGAGTGAAAAGAAAGCAGAAGTGGCTGTGGCAGCTAGCAAGTCTCTCTCCTTGCCTTTCATTGTATACAGGCTGTACATTCCAGGCTGAGTATAACACTCACACCCGTATACCCAGCACTGGATCATGAATTAATCACAAGCTTTAGAAGCCCATCTCAATGACTGCATGAGGCTTTGGAGGTACAACTAGACACAAACTGAAACATGTATATAAACTTTTATTTCCTATTATTATATAGCCTCTAGTCTAGTGACCAAGGCTAATCTTTTTTGCTTCAGAGCACTTGCAAACTTGGTTAGATTAATCAAGGCATCTTCAGATCCTGGATTAGGATCACCTTCAGATCAAATGGAACCATCCCTATCACTCACTGGGAACATTTATTTTCTGTTAGGCTACCAACTATAACATACTGCTTTCTCTTTTTTATGTTGACACCCAGTGGCTATTATCCTTAACCTACAAAGGAAAATCAATTGATTGTATTTGAGAAATGTCCATACCTATAAGAAATCTTTTGGATGCTTCAGTGCTGAATTATGACCTAATGCTATTTGTTAATGGATTTCATTTTAAAACAAAGGGGATGAAAAAATTTGGAATGCAATGGATATTCTACATTATTGTGAAATCCAATCCCTTGCCAGGAGCTAAAGTGGCTAGAATGGCTGAAGTTGTAGGTTTCTTTAGGCCATGTTAACTTACAGTGGAACCCCATATCATGACTGGGGAAGATGGCTGTGTTTATGTCATATGATGAAGACAGTAATGGTTGCTTTTGTCCCCAATGCAGTTTGTGAACAGAAGCAAAATTCTTTTTATAAATTGAATTATTTACAAGCAGAAGCATTCATGAACTGAGATATTACTATACTAAAGATAAGAGGTTAAATGCATATCTAGAAGTTGGTCAACAGTTGGAATGTGAATGGAATCAAAATGTATCACTTTCAATTTTAGCCTGCAAAAACCTTGTACTTAGAAACTTTCATAACCTAAGGTTCTTTCCTAGTTTGATGCAGGTGGGTATGGTGACTGAGCAGTTTAGGTCCTCTAGGAGGCAGATGATAAAAGATACTAAAAGTTCAGAAGATTTCTTTAAGAAATGCTGGTGGAAGATGGAAGGGAGGAAGGGAAGCAACAGGCAGGGAAAAACTTTAGATGGTGCTAAGTTCTGATACCTTTGAAGGGAGAAGGTTCTGGAAGGACGATTGAGTCAGAAAATGCTTATCTTCCAATTTAGCCCCAGGTAGCCAGGAAGACTCAAAGTCAAGCAGGTTGTGGGGCACAGACAATCCTCAGAGTGGATTAGTGGCCTAAGTTTTAAAGATTTTACCAGTGGAAACCAGGGAAGATATTCCAGTTGGATTAACTGGTTGTCAGACTTCATATAATTATTCATGCTTTGATCAGTCCTTGTACTACTCTGTTAGCCAGGTCCTCCAAGAAGCAGATGCCAGGGAAGAATTATATGTGCAGGAGATTTGTTGAGGGATGCATTTATGAGAATTAAGAGGGTTCCGGACCAATGGGTGCAGCTGTTGTTCAGGCTGAGATGGAGCAGTGGGGCAAAGAGGTAGGCCAGTGCCAACCTGAGAACCAGCCCAGCCCGGATAACTCGAAGCCTTTGCCCATCTTGGATGCGTGGCCATCCTCTGGAGGCAGTGGAGTATACACCTCTTGGAACTGTGGCCCACCAGGTCCTGAGCATTGCTTTTAGAATGGAGAGATGTTGAGGACTGTTCTGGTGTCTCCTGAAACACCGAGGCAGGATGCAGGCGAAGTGAGGGCCTATTTCAATGTGTCACAGAATGATCACGTCCTGAACTACTGCCCCATGATGTACTACCAGAAGGAGCCTCCCTCCCAGCCAGAAATGATTGACAGTACACCCCAGATGGTACCCTTACAGCCTGGTATTCAAGGCAGAGATCTGAGCTTCAGTGAGAATCTGAGGATGCCCCCCAGTGGACTAAGGCCTTCTTCAGTTGGAATCTCAATGGTTACCCTCACCAGTACTCCCACAGTACCTTATTATGGGCCCCCAACATTACCTTGCAGAACCTCTTTACAGTCTACAATGTTTTGGGGTCCGACCATGCCTTCCACTGAGGTCCAGGCTGTACTCCCATCTGCAGCTCAGATGTTACAACTTGGAAATCCCTGTAACATTCTGATTCCTCCAGCTGGATCCCAATCATTGCAGACCTTAGAATCCCAGGGCTCTCTTGTGAATAATCCATCAGGTTTCCACACAGACCTCTTCCTGCCTGAACAGCCCACAGCTGCTCCTCAGAGAGTAGAGAACTTCGGGGCCTGGGGAGGGTCACCCAGAAGGCAACTCTCAGTTCTAAGACCATACCGCTGCCCATATAAGGACTGTGGAAAAGCATATATGAAGCGCTCCCACCTTGTGAGTCACCAGCGCAAACACACAGGAGAGAAGCCCTATAAATGCACTTGGGAAGACTGTACTTGGTGTTTCTTCCATTCTGATGAGCTTCAACGTCATATGCGGATGCACACCAAACACCGGCCCCACAGGTGTGATCAGTGTGGCCGGCAGTTCATGAGATCTGACCATCT